ATTATGAAAACCCAACATTAAAGAACAGATTGTCATTACAGTTTTATTTATTTATTTAATGGTTTTATTTACAATTCAGCCTCCTTTCTGGTCAATATTTATCTGCAAGTGTTAATATTCCATTTCAAAGGCTAAAAACTTACTATCAAAACAAACAAATATCTGTATAGGGCCCAAAGTTCAATTGCATGATATTAATGGTCTCACAGTAGGGAAAAGCAAGCAATAGACACTTTCCAAAACAGATTTTTGTCCCACTTTGCACCATTTGTTTTTTTCAAGTGACACCAATACCGGCAGAAACTCATTTGACAGATAAGACTGATGCTGTCCCTCATAAATAACAACTAGATCCTGTATAATGCCTCTGTCTGCTTTATGATTAAATATTCTCCCAATTGTATGTTTCATAGCCTGGTACAAAACACACACAAAAAACCCCTTAGATTGTTTCCAGTAATTCTGACATCCAAGCAGGTTTTTCATTTCACGAAGTAGCTATTAAAAAAAAAAAGTTTTTACATGCAGCTTTGCTTAGTGTTGGATCCCAAGCATTCAAAATAACTCCACGTTGAAAAGCAAGCAAGGTTTATTTCAAAGCGTTGGTTTAACCAGAACAGGACATTGTTAGGAATAACTACAGGTAACCAGGGAAGGCATAATATAGACATTTGAACCAGGTAAGGACCAATGAGCCCAGTTCCCGCTGGCGGGAATAGAACATGCAATTCGCGCCCATTGCATGGGAACGCAACAGTTCTATAATGTCAACACAGGTTCAGTTCACATGCTAGATACCCAAAACATTCTAGGCGAAGCATTCCTCCTACACCCAGCTGCCCGACCTTGGCGAGTTCCGCGGACTACATAACATAACTCAAGCAAACAAGGAATGAGGGAGGGGGGGTGTAGGATACTACACAGGAACCGGAATGACAATGGCAGCTAGCTGACACTTAGCTTCTAAGTATTCAGTAGAGAATCTTAGATAATATTTTGAGGAAAGGTCCTTATTGGCCACGTTTTGTAAACAGTTCATAGAAACTGTGGGAAATGTTGAAACATTAGAAAATGTACTACAACGAATCTTCATCTTTGTTATCTTATTTCTGTGAATTACTAGCTTTGTCATGTAGAGCTTCATCATGTGAAACCCACATTGCACAGTGCATAGGTGTTCTCGGCTGACTGTGGTCAGAAGTTATATGAAAACACCCATTACTCAAAGCTGTGTGTTTCTTTTTGATGCCCACTGAAACTGCTGGCTCTGCTTGTTGCATAGGAGAGGCAGTGGCTATACTATACTTCATACTTTTTATTTTAATTGTCTGTTCTATGATATTCCATGCATGTAAATATTTCTTTCTGTACTTCTGTTTCTCCTCCCACACAGCACTTGTTTACATAGTACTGTCAAAAAGGTGAGTGACAAGGAAAGAGGCCCACAAATGTCCAATTCCTCTAGGAGCTGCAGTTGGGAAGAATACAGCAAAATTTGAGTCTTGACAGGCTATAAATCGCTCTCACGGCTCTGGAGCTGTTCAGGCCTTCTCTGTCTCTACTGTCCAGCTCTCTGAAGGAATCACACAGCTCTTGTTCTTAAACACAAGTTATTTCGAGTTAAGAATGACATATGAAGGTTATCTGATCCTGGTGCTGATAACAAAATCCCATGATTGTTTGTTTCTATCCTGATGAAAGAGTGCAGGAATTATGTGCCAATTATCTTTTTAGCTCCTAATAACATTTTTCCCTGTGCTCAACTTCTGAGAATCTGGCATAACTCCAATGTAAGAGCACAAGTAGTCCTCTTCCGTGACAAGACCCTGCTCCAGTTGCAGTACAGATGCAGCAACAGACTGAGTTGGAATTTCTACCATCTCTCCCATGGCTACCTAAATGAAATGTAAGAATATTCAGGGCTTAATTTGAGCCAAATCAGCCTTGAGCTCTATTTTATTTATTTAGTAAATTAAATTTCTAGACTGTCCTCCCCTGTAAAACAGGGCTCAGGACAGTATACAACAACAAAAACACAGTAATAAATTAAATTCATAGTTAAAAATACAACAATTAACCTAAGTAGATGGCGCTAAGCAACTCCAGATTGTGCCACTGCCCCACATGGAGGGAGGCAGAAAACAGGAGTGTCAGAACAGGTGGAAACCACTGCTGTCCTCAGTCAAATGCCTGGCAGAACATCTCTGCCTCTGCGGAACTACATTAAGTTCCTAGCTCTGGTTGAAGACAGCTGGATGTCTCTCAGGCCAGGGATCACCAGTAAGTTCTTATCTGCAGAGCACAATGCTCTTCTGGAGATATATCAGGAGAGGTGGCCCCGAAGATACATGAATCCCAGACCATCTGGGGCCTTAAAGGTTAATACCAGAACCTTGATCCTAATCTGGTAGTCCACCTGGAGCCAGTGCAGCTCGCGCAGCACATGTCGACTATGTGCTTTTTGCAGGTTTCCCATAAGGACCTGCATTGCCGCATTCTGGATCAGTTGGAGTTTCCAGGTCAGTCTCAAGGGTAGCCCTGCGTAGAGTGCGTTACAGTAGTCTAGTCTGAAGGTGACCTTTGTGTGGATTACTGTGGCTTGGTCGGGGCAAGACAGATAGAGAGACAGTTGTCTGACATGGCGTAGCTGGAAAAATGCCAGTCTGGCAACATTTGTGATCTGGGCCTCCATTGATAGGGATACATCCAGGACCACGCCCAGGCTTTTGACAGATGGTGCCATTATTAGGGGCACACCGTCAAGGGCCAGGAGTTGGCACCCCAAACCTGAATCCCCCTCCCAGCCACAGAACCTCCGTCTTAGCAGGATTCAGTCTCAGCTGGCTTTGTTTCAACCATTCCACCATGGCCTCCATCCCCTCAACCAAATTCACTGGGGTGGTATCCAGCCACTTGCCCATCAACAGATATAGCTGGGTGTTATCAGCATACTGGTGACATCCCAGCTTGAAACTCCGTACCCCTTGGGTGAGGGGGCACATGCATTTTGCTGAGGTAATGAAGAAGACTATATTTTTTATATGTATGAATGGTGCCTCTTCCCTAGCTCTATATAGGCAGTCCAGAAATATTTAGTAAGTAGGCTCTTGCCTAAGAAAGTCCATGCCACAATAAATGCATTACTTTTAAATGTGCCACTGCACTCTTTGCTTTGTTGTAAGGATTCACATCACTACTTTTTTGGACATTTTTGGATTATGTGGCATGGCTTGCAACACTCAGCTTCCTTCCAAACATGCTTGAAATCTTCATATAAATTAGAACTGGTAAGCAAATGGCTGATAAATTAGAACTGGTAAGCAAATTACATTTATAAATTAATTAATCAGAGCACTTTTGTCCTGCCATTCTGCTAAACTCTGTTCAAGTCTCCTAATAGCTAATCTAAGACAAAAAGTACAATAAAATGTATACATTACTAAACATCACAACATTACATTTAAAATGCTTTTTCTAAAACTTGAAAAAGTTTTAATAACCACCAGTTGCATTTTAATACACCTGCCTACATATTTTCAGTATCCAAGAGCCTTGTATAGCCTGTGTAGACTGGCACCTATATTTTCTGTTTTAATAAATATGGACCTTATGTTTTTTAATGTTAAGTACAGCATGCTAATTTGGCTCGTGTAACACAAGCCATTGTTTGTGCCAGAGAATCCAATCGGTCTGCCTGTGAGACTATAAATGCTGATTAAACTGCCCATCTCTGATCTGCATTTGGCTTCCCATTTTGTTTTCTGTAACTTACAAGTCTAAGTGAAAAGAATAAATAACTAGGATCATAAAAGATGGGTGAGATATATAATTTCCACTATGCCACAATGATTAACTTCTTTAAGACCTTATTTTCATGCAGTTTTACCAAGGTTTCAAAATTTTCTCATGGTTCCTCCTTATGTTGAAGTTTTTTATTAATAATGTATATCCAAAGCATATTCTATCTTAAGGGGGGCTACCACTGCACACAAAGAGAAAACAATCTTTTTCATGTTTTAACTTTACCACTTGGCCCCAAGGCAGGAATTAGGATTATCATTGCAAGGTTCTTTCTTCCTCCTTACCAGTGCCAAGTTTTCCCCACTCCCTCCCCATCAGTCATTAAAGGCATTTGTTCAAAATATATTAGTTTTTTAAATATTTTAGATGTGGCTTGCATCTAAAGAGAAAAATCTACAACATGTGAAGTATCGTATGTTAAAATATAAAGCAAGATGTGTAATTAAAGTACTAGTTAATCTGCTTTTCCCAGCCCTATAATGTGTTCCAGAATATAATGCCCTTTTGTTGAAATAATTCCCCTTAAGAATTTAACAAGGCTATAAGGACTTTTTTTTCCTTATTGATGTGCAATGTTCAGCTGGTCTCCTGCCATGTTATTAAATACGGATTAGAAATAGCTTGGCATATTGAAGCCATAATTCTTGTAACAGGATAAACAGCAAATAGAATTTGATGTGTTGCTTGTGTACTTCTGACCTTGTATGCAGTTTAAGACAAACAGAGAAAAAGCAATCTCTTGCCAGAGTTCATGATGAAGAATAATTATTTTCTGATCTGAGCTATATAGGCAAAGAATATCACACTTTTTAAATCTAGTCTTCTGTAAAGGGGTATAGTACCCAGGTTGGCTGGCTATATTAAACAGTACAACATTCTTTGGTTAAATTGTGGCTTGCTTTAAATTTTGTTGTTACAGCTTCTTACCATATAAAAGCAGAATTATTTATTGTAAAATTTATAGCAGGAATCTTTATTTCTTTTCCAGTGGTGGTATAGCTAGTGATTAATGTCTATAGAGTCACAGAAGGCTGAGGAGGATATTTGCCCCATAAGTAAGGGAGGAGCAAGCACAGGTTGTACCAGAGCATGTTGCTGACTTAGTCCAAGGAAAAGAGGAAGAGTTTATTTCTTCTTTGGCCAGGACGGGATGATGTCAGGTTGTCACTTATTCCCATTCAACTATACCATTCAAGAGAATGTGAACAGATGAAAAGATTGTTAAAATATTTATGAAGGCGGTCTAACAGTAAATATTTAGTATAGCTTATGGTCACAATAAGCTCTTATGAATGGAATTCAAGATTACACTATTAACAACTGTATTAATACACTATTAACAACTGTAACAGCCTGTAGAGCCTGGTCCCTGGTCGGTTATCAATAGCCTAGGCACACCGACTACATCTGAGGAAGTGAGCTGGAACTTAAGCAACTATGGAATGCACTCATGCGGTAATGCCATCATTATGACGCCAAACAACAAAGCTAGCACTTTAACATTGTATTGTTTAATGAACTGTTTATAAATGTTTTATGAACTTTTGATTGTTATTGTGAATTTTATCCCATGTAAGTTGCCCTGAGCCTGCTGTGGTGGGGTAGGGCGGGTTATAAATAATAAAATAAATAAATAAAATAAAGGTATAAACCTGATTTTCCGGAGAGCACATTTTACACTCTAGATCCTGTTTTCCATAATAACAATTGAACATTGCTATTATAATTGTAGCAATATGTCATATTTCCAAATATTCTGAGCAACTGTTCAAATGTTCCATCTCAACAGCACAGTCTTTTCAATCAATAGTGTAATTTTATTTGTTGTAGGCTGGTAGCGATGGAGAAAGTATTGGAAACTGCCCGTTTTCTCAGCGCCTCTTTATGATTCTGTGGCTGAAGGGTGTTATATTTAATGTTACAACTGTGGACTTGAAACGGTGAGTTTATAACCTCCCACATTTTCTTTATATCTCTCTCTCTCTCTCTCTCTCTCTCTCTCTCTCTCTCTGTGAGACACTTTTGTGGGACAAATACTCTGTATTTCTTTTCTCTCTCTTTGAGGAACTGTTGTGGGGCAAATAATCTGGAAATTTCTTCCACAAAATCTCCCAGGCATCTGTATTTTGTACATTCTAAATCCCCTCACCCTTAGCTGACACTCAATTTTTTTAAAAAATCAGGACTCTTTTTGTGGAAAAAGCCCAGCAGGAACTCATTAGCATAACAGGCCACACCCAACAGCAGAAACTCATTAGCATATTAGGCCACACCCCTGACAGTGCAGATATGCCCTCACAGAGGAGGGAGAGCTTGTACCTGAATAAACCTTGATCTTAAAGGTGCCACTGGACTCTTTTGGATAGCTAGCTATGGGGGGAAACGTGGCGATCTGCTCAGAAAGAAAGAGAGAGAAAAGGAGGGAAAGGGGGAAAGAAGGAGGGAAAGAAAGAAAGAGAGAAGGAAAAAAGGAGGGAAAGAAAGAAAGAAAAAAGGAAAGAGAAGGAAACAAGGAGGGA